CAACAGCGAAGCTGCGATAGTGAAGAGCAGGTAGATGCAGTTGAAACTGCATACAAGTGTGCATAGACCAAACTTTCACAGATGTTCACTCATTTTGTTTATTGATTTATTTAATTGTAATTACTGATGCATTTTCCACAACTCCCCTCTCTTCAAAACAAGAGTCCATGGATGCTGAGGTGCTGCACTCTGCTCAAGCAGAGCATGGCTCACTTTTGCTAAGGCAGCTAGAGAGGATGAGAACAACTAAGGAGCTCACTGACGTGGTGCTGCTAGCTGAAGGGATCCCCTTCCATTGCCACAAGGTGGTGCTGTCTGCATTCAGTCCTTACTTCCAGGTAAAATAGTCAGGAACAATAAACCGTATGCTTGAAGGAAAATGAAGAACACTATTTAAATTATTTGCAATGCAATTATTTTTATTTTCCTGTAAAATACCTGAAGATATGCAATACTCAAAAGCACTTATGCACTACATAAAATTACTTCCATATTACTTATTATTCTAAACATAATACTAAAATCTACTTACAGTATAATTATTTCTTTGTTTCTGGTAATTTCAAATAAAATACATTGGAAATCATGTTGTATTGCAGGGGAATTAAGCCGTTCGTTGCAGGCCATATTATAAAGTGTTACCATATTTTTTATTATTTTTTTCTGAACTACTCCAAGCAAATGCATTAATGAGACGCAAGGCTGTAGTTGTATCATTTCTTACTGTTCTGGTGAATCATTGTGTCCAGGCCATGTTTACATGTGGTCTGAAGGAGACGCACGGAGGAGAAATACCACTCAGAGACACTTCTGCACAAAGCTTAAGGCTGCTGCTGGACTACATGTACTGTGGCGAGCTCCCACTAACAAACAACAACATCCAGGGAGTGGCCGTTGCTGCCTTTCTGCTACATGTAGACGGAGGCTTCAGGTGCGGTGAAACTGACAGAGGGGTAATTGGTAAAGGTGTCACCTGTTAAAGTGCAAGTTTTATGCTTAAGAAGTACTCTCCTTGTTTTTACTGAGGTAAGGTTGTGCCAGAGTCACATGGAGGCCTGTATGGACCCGTCAAACTGTGTTGGTCTGTACCACTGGGCCAGGAACTTGGGAGCAACTAGCCTCGCTGACTGTGCCTTGCGATATCTTTGTCAACACTTTTCACAGGTAGGGTTTAAGTATTACCAATGTGAAAGAATCCCTCAGTCATAGTCTTTAAAAATGTTCATGAACCTACGATTAATGAAGTTAGGCCTGCCCTAAATTATCAGAAGAATCAAAGTTCAGTGAAGCTTTTGAACACTGAGGAAATCTCTGAATATCTTTTGTTCATTTTGCAATGTTATTCTTATTTTATATTCATTACTTACAGTATACTGTCTTTCTTTATCTTTGTTTAACTAGGTTTGTGAAGAAGAAGAAGTGCTAGAGCTGAATGCTCAAAGTCTTGGGGAACTGCTTGGCTTAGATGACCTTAACGTATCACAGGAGGAGGTTGTTTTGGAGCTGGTGCTGCGCTGGGTGGAAAAGTACAGGGGTGACTCAGAAAGGGAAGCCCAGGCTGTGGAGTTGCTCAGGCATGTCCGACTGGAGCTTGTGGATCCTGGATTTCTTTGTAAAGCAAGGAGGAGAAACCCGGTATGAAGAGATTGGAATGAGGTCCAAATATAATAAGGAGCAAGACTCCCTATTTATATTTGTCCTGAGATAAGTATATAGATATATCATTCTTATACTTATGATTCTCTCAGGTGCTTCTGCAGGATACTGAGTGCTTTGGGATGATTGATGCTGTTCTCCAGACGTCAGGTCTCTGCGAGGCCGCAGCTCCTCCTCGCCGAGCTCTTCGCTATGGCATGGAGACAACAGATTTGCTCCTTTGTTTGGGTGGTGTGAATAAGGAGGGCGTCCCTGCGCGGCGTGGAGGACTTGCTGACCTCAGTTTTTGCTTTGACCCCCATGCTAGGAAGACTTACTACATCCCCTCTCCCCTGAGGGGCTGCAGCATAGTGGGACAGATCACAGCAGGCGCAGTGAGCCGAGAAAACATCATAGTGGTGGCCGTAGAAGCAGAAGACCAACATCGAACGAAGGGGGTTGATATCTACAGGTTTTAATCCCTTTGCATATCAGAAATCTTTTTATCAATAGGCACCACACTGAATTAACAAATGAACTACTTGTTTATCTTCCAGGTATGACAGTTCAGAGGAGAACAGCTGGGGGAAGTTGTGCTCAGCAGCTTACAGGGACATGTATGCTTTAGGGCTCATAGGAGATGCCCTCTATTTAATCGGTGGTCAGATGAAAGTGCGTAATCACTACGTCATCACAGACAGCATGGAGAGATGGTCGCTGAAGAGAGGAGGCAGCTGGCTCAGCTTTGCTCCTCTGCCTCTTCCATTAGCCAGTCACTTTGTTGTGACACTGAAGGAGCATCTTTATGTGCTGGGGGGGTGGACACCACAGGTACCCAGACTCACCATCTTAACCGTTTAAAGCCTGAGCCATGAAATAATTGCCCCAAAAATTCATCTTTTTAAACTGAGTATTTATGGAACCTTCTTACAAAATAAAAGAAAAAATGTATTTGTATATGTGAGTTTGAATTTTTATCATACTTGTTGTGTCTGGCCTTTTTTTTTTTTTACATGGTATTAGTTTAAAATGTAATGTAAAATTTATTTAGGTTTTTCACGGGAAAAAAATCATACTGAAGTTGTGGAAGTCTCAAAAATTTACAAAAACTTGCCATATAAAATCCACAAACTGGTTGTTTTTCCCCTGAACATTAACATCAGTATTGTACTTTTATTTAAAATCATTTTCGTTTTTTTAAAACAATTCCACACGATAGAGATGGTGAAATAGTTACTGAAATATTTCTGCTTCTCATTTGTCCAATATGTCCCCATGTCCTCATCTTTTTCTTCATCTCTCTGCCTAAATCTCTCATCCTGCCATTCAGGATCACCCTGACGACGAGCCTGACAAGCTCAGCAATCGTGTGTTTCAGTTTGATCCCGGCAAAGACAGATGGACAGAGTGTGCCAGCATGAAGTACTCCAGGTACCGCTGTGGGTCAGCTGTACTCAATGGAGAGATCTATGTATTAGGTCAGTCTACCAAAACACATAACTGTATCTATGTTAGTATTGTGAAATTTCTGCACTGGAGCAAGAGTAGATGCGTTTGTTTCCAGGTGGTATAGGATGCGATGGAGAGGACCGTGGGCAATCGCGTCGTTGCCTGAGCTCCGTGGAGATCTACAACCCAGATACAGACACCTGGAGACCAGGACCAACCGTCCCCACATCCCTACTTTCCCTTCGAATGAACGCCTCCAACGTAGGAGTAGTGGATGGAAAGCTCTATCTCTGTGGATACTACAAAGGGGCTGGTCAGTTACTGAATGCCTGTCAAATAATTTTTAAAAGCACTTTTGCATGCGCTCAAATAATTTTTCTCTAATGGCTGCAGGCCGTCATGAGATCATCACCAAGGAACTTTTGGAATTGGACCCTGCAGACAATGTGTGGACAGTTGTGGAAAGACGAGCAGCCATGCACGACAGCTACGACGTCTGTCTGGTGGCTAATCTTAATCCTCGAGATCTCTTCACAACCTAATCCAGCTCCTGCTGGGCCAGTGTGTGTGGAAAGTAAGCGTCTATACGCTAAACCCGGAAAGTCTCATTCAAAAAAGCTTTATTCACTCTTGGTATTTGGAAAAAAGAATAACCAGATTAATTTTCACTATAATTAACTAACAACTTATTTTTTTGCTATATGAGTATCCAAAGTCAAACTTTAGATAATGCAGTTTTATGTTATATATCAATGGGACATTAGCTGTAATTAAATATATATTGTGTTGTATGATATGTTCAGTCAAAAGTCTGTTTGTTACATGTCTTGTCCAAGCAATAAATTTTACCTGTAAATGTAAGAATAAAAGAAAAATCAACATTCTGTTCTGTGTAATTTCTATATGTGGTATAAACTGTTAAACTAACACGTGCAAGGCTGCACGTGTTAGTTTAAGGTCACAAAATCTTGCCTATACAAAAGTCCCTTCCACCACTTTAACTCTTCTTTCAGTAAAAAGAAGGATGGCAAGAAAAAAAAGCTAATTTTATATTTAACAAGCTATTTATTTTGCTCTTCCATCAAACTACAGAGACCACAGAAGCCTCACACTGACTGCTACTTGTTTTTTGTTGTTGTTTTTTTCTGTGTGTTGTCAAACATTACTTGGACTGAAAGGATGTCAGCAGAAGAACTTGGTGACCTCTTAGTGAGAAAACATTTTAAATATATTTTCCTCTCCTTTTTTTTGGATAACTGCATGTTGAAATGATATAATAATAAAATGAAATAATAAAGTGACGTGAAAAAGATGGAGGATTCAGGTGTGTGTTAACGCAATGCCACAATCTTACCAGGAATGGATGTCCAAGTAGATTTGACCCAAGGTCAGACTGTGCAATGCTCATTAACTACAAAAATCCCAAAAGACTCTCCATGCTTCAATCAACATGGTAGAACAATGAACACCAATGAACACATCTGTATACCAAAGTATTCTTGGGTCAGATCTGAAGACAGTGGGTCATACAATCGGAAATTCCCAAGCATTCACACAATACCTGGTCTTTCATGCACTTTTTTAAACGAATAATAGTGATATAGTCAGTCTAAAAAAACTCTACATTGCCCTTAAAAAAACATTTCAATTCATTAAGATGAATGCAGATTTCACTGTAGTATTTGATACAGCAATCGTGACTTGAGATAACCTAGCGCATACTTCCAGAGTTCTTTGAAATTGCCATTTTGTGAGACCTTGATGATGATAGATGATGCCGATAGTCTGGGAGGCTAAATTTAATGTTTTAGACAACAAGTGTCCTCGCGCAAGGATACAAGAGCAGGTGTGGGCTGGTGGGAGGTGCGCTTGCAAGCATGAGAAACGAATCTCACATTCTCAGGACAGTCATTCAACTTCGCCGCTCAGGGTGAATAAACATGCTAGTAGAAAGGTGGTGGCTGATTTTGGCCTTGGGTGAGTATTTTTAAAATCATCTGCCAATCTGCTGTGTTGTTTGTTCCTTTTTCTGTGTCTGATTTTGATTAATGATGGCTGCTAATAGTTACAGGTTGTGTTGCTTGTGTTGTAAAAGGACTGTTGACTAGGCTAATTTAGACTCCTATGTTATTAATCACCGTTGTCATCTTACATTATACGTCCGACTTTCTTTTTATTCTTTTTTTTTATTCCCAGAATGTATTATGTGCATCTACAGCAAGCCCTTACAGCAGAAGAGAAGGTGTTTTTTTCAAATAACAGAAAGTACAAAGCATAACTACAGGCAGAATAAGAAATACACTGCTGCAGGCAGTGTGAGCGGGTCAGTGCAAGTTTGTGAGACCACGGACTGTTGCGTGGGCTACTACCGGATTATTAACGGCACACCAAAAGCTGACATTCTTGGTAAGAAGCCCGTATGTCTGGGCAAGTACGTGGAGTGTATAGTGGGTGATTGAAAACAACAACAACAACAACAACAACAACACATTTTTAGCACATTAGCAAAAAAAACATCTAATGATTGATAAGCTAGTTTAAAGAAAGCTCCCGCGCCAATTGTAACAGCTGAAATGTGCCACGTGCTGTGAAGTATAATGAAGTATGTAATATTGTTTGTCGTGCTCCTGATTTTTCGATTGCAGCTTGTGATAGAATTGAAAAGTCATGCCCAGATGAAACCTGCAAGGCACAAACACGCATCAACAATCAATTCTTGACGTGCATGTGCAACACAGACCTCTGCAATGGCAACATTACTTGGGGAAAAGAACAGACTTCACACCCCTACTCTTATTTTTCAGGTATGGTATTAATAAGGTTATATAACCGTGAATTACTAAATAAATGTATAATTTAAGAATAATATATCATAATACAATTAGAAGCATTTAAAAAGCCTAAAACACTTCATGTCCTTCCCGAGGCAACCCCAAAGGAATTTGTGCCCCTCGGGGAATCAAACCAAAGATCTTTTTCTTGTTAGGCTCTTGTTATGCTGAATATATATTCAGGTGGTTGACAAATTTAAGGAAAAATCAACATTAAGTGTAACATTACCAGACACCCAACACTTGGCATTGATTTGTCAGTATCTGGAACAGTTAGCCATCACCATGCCAGCAAAATGGCTCACACACCATTACAAAGATCTCTAGCTCAAATTGTTGTGTTTTTCCTTGAATTCTTCACCCATTCGCATGTGCGATAGATATGATCATTCATTCAGAATTCAACTGGCACCTAATCCTTTTTTCTCCCCTTTTTAGTCGTCTTCATGAAAAAGGCTGTGAAACCTCTGGTTGGGATTTTGCTCTTTATGTGTTTCTGGATCGTTGCTGCTCAATGGAGAAGTTGCCTAAAAAAGAAAAGTAAAGTTCTTTTTTCTTCAAAAACATTATTTATGATTTAAATACCACTTGAGTAATTCAGTTTGACCTGACTGACTCCACTGCAAAAAAAGAAAAGAAAAGAAAAGAAAAGAAAAGAAAAAATAGTGAATCTTCTTTTACACCTTCAAAGTTATGCTTTACCCTCAGATTTCTCAGAGAAGTCCAGCATGCAGGGCAAAAACACTCAAATTCAGTTTGCTATTTTCCTAAAAATAACAATGTCACTTTTAATGCTTATTTATTTTTTTAATGCTATAATTTCATTAATTATTCATTTTGGCAGTCTTAATTCCTAGGGTCAGGACTGCCAAAATGAAATAATAAAATTATCATGAAATAATTAAATGTGTCAATAATTAA